GGGCCTTTGGGCTCGAGGGAGCAGCCCGGGGCTGGGCCGTGTGGGTGCCGCGGCTCGCCGGGCGGCGGCCGAAGGCGGGCCGTCGGCGAAGGGGCACGGCCGGGGGTCCTTGTGCAGTGCGGGCGGCTGGGCCGGCAGGACCGGAGCGGCCGAGATGAGGCACGTGAAGCGACCTCATGCAACAGATGCTCGTCCACTGTCTTCGTGCCCCCTTCAACGCACACAACAACACACACACACACACACACACACACACACACACACACACACACACACACACAACACATGCACACACACACACACAACACATGCACACACACACACACACAACACATGCACACACACACACAACACATGCACATACACACACACACACACAACACATGCACAAACACGGGTGCTCACACACAAACACACAAGGACACACTCCCCCCGCTCACCCTGAAGACGGCCGTGTCAGTGAAGAACTTGTTGGCGTCCGTGCTGGCCGCCATGGCCAGGCGGATGGCTTCCCGCAGCTTCCGCGACTCCATGGCCGCCAGGTAATCCTGGACCTGGGGTGACAAAGATGCGTCGGGTGGGGGGTCAGCTGTGGAGGCCGGGTGGAGGATGGCGAGAGTGGGGTGGGTGGAGTCATAGGTAACGAGTCCAAAATTTTGTGTGTTGATGTGTGTGAGAACGAGAGTGTGTGTGCGTGCGTGTGTGTGTGTGTGTGTGTGTGTGTGTGTAGCTTTGTGAGGTGAGGCGAGGAGCAATGGAGCAAAGAAGATGTGGGGTTGGGCCCCCTCCCCAAAAGAGAGCATGACTACATCACTCGCACGCACGCACGAGCGCATGCACGCACACACACGCGCGCGCGCCTCCCGCGCGCGCGCACCTTGGCGTCCACCAGCGCCCCCAGCTCCGCCACCTCGGCCTGGCCCTTCTCGGGGTGGGGGGCCGGCACCACGCCGTCACAGAACTTGGCCACAAACATCAGGGTCCTGGCAGTGGAGGGGGGGGTGGGTATTGGTTCGCGCGGCTCAGGCACGGCATCGATTACCGGTATGATGCCACGCGCGCACCATTCCGATGGAAGGGGCTCGCGTTATGAGGGGCTCGCATCACCGTGACGCGCAACCTGACCAGCTGGCAGCCGGGGGACGGGGCGCGCCCCGCGTCAGGGGCCGCGGTGGCGTGCGGCAGCCGGCGGCACCCGGGGGTTGTGCGCCGGCCGTGGGTGTGCCCCGCACCTGTTGACAAAGTTGCCCAGGTTCTTGAGCAGCTCGCTGTTGGTGCGCGCCTGGGGAAGTGGGAGCGGAGGGCGGACGCGTAAGTGCCGGTCGGGGCAGAGGTGGGGGCGTGGCCCCGCTTGACCATGTTATCACGGCAGTCAAGGACGCGTTTTATCCGTTGAGGCCCCGGCTGTGGCGGGCTGCACCCCCCTCCCCGACCGCCCCGGGCTCCCCGCTGACCCGGCCACGACC